AGCAGCTTCCTGTTACCTTCAGCCCAGATGTGTCCACATGTTGCCCGTCGCGCCGAACGGACAGCAGGCGCGCCCGCCCCACGCGCGGGTATCCCTCCTCCACCTCCAGGTGACACACCAGCGACGCCGTCTTCAGGTAGACGAGGAGGCGCTGGGCGGGGTGCCAGTCAATGGCGAAGCTGAAAGACAGATGGTGATTAAATGCTGGCGTGGGAAAGAGGCTCCGCCCATGTCACTTCAATAATTGGTCAGTGCTTCACCTGGACCGCAGGCTCTGGATCTCAGCCAACAGCTCGGCCTGCCCAACATAACACCGCATCACCTCCAGCAGGGCGGCGCTCAGCTCCACCCGTCGGCCCGTCAGGCTGTCCTCCGCGAGGCCCGCCGTCCCCTCGCTCACCTGAGGATCACACACCTTCATCACGCTCCATTTGACGTTCGGCTACACTCACTGATCGATTGATCTACGGTTTGTAAGACACGCCCCTCGCATCTGTGATATCCAATCAGTTTTAATGAGTATTGAGTATTGATTGACTAACAGTTCTTAGTGTCGGAGGAAACCTGACATCACCTGTGTCCTCACCTGCAGTCTGAAGCGGTCGTCATGGCTCCAGGTGACCGACAGCCTCAGCGGCTCCAGTTCATTGGACAACAAGCCAGAAGAGGTGTGTGGCCTGAGCTCCACACACAGCTCTGATTGGTTGAAGGCGAGCAGGTTGATGTGCATGACGTCCTGCGTGGCGCTGACGTGCACCTGCAGCCTGCCAGGTGACAGGAAGTCAGGTTAGCGACCAATCACAAGGGCTTCAATAGAGTCACGTGACTTTGTGGCACTCACTCGTCTCTAAGTCGCTGCCACTCGATCAGGTGACCGAGTGTCACCTCTGACTCCGCCCTCAACTGGGCCAGCTGAAGGTCACATGACTGCAAAGCATTCTGGGCGTTCAGCAGAGACGACTCCAGCTGCTCACTCTGCTGCCTCTGCAGGGAGCAAGGAGACAAGGGCAGGAGGAGACAAGGAGAGGAGAGGATGAGGCGACAAAGAAAAGCAAGATTACCTGATGTTTCAGCTCCTCGACTCTTAGTGACTGACAGTGTGTGTGTGTGTGTGTGTGTGTGTGTGTGTGTGTGTGTGTGTGTGT